TTACAGGATAGATAATACTAAAAAATCAGGGTCACCATTACCCTGCAATTTTTATTATGTTATTGAGAACTCTGTAATATACAATAAATGTATATGCTGAATGTGTCTAGGCATTCATACTTTTTTTTTTTAGCTTCGCTGTCGACTTTGTCGAGCGGAGCTTATCATATGAGTGACTGTCCGCCGGTGTCTGTCGCCTGTGTCAACTTTTTACTTTTTTGACTTCTTCTTGAAAACTACAATTTTTATTGCTTTGATACTTGGTGTATATGTACCTTGGGCAGACCTTTCTTAGATTTGTTCATTTCGTGATGATATCTTTTTAATGAATATTTTTGTCATTTTTGATGACAAGTGATATTATTGGATTCTTGTTAAAAACCGCAAATCTGATTGCTTTGATGTTATACATGTAGGTACTACAGATATACCTATCTCACATTTGTTCATTTTCTAATGATATTGAGTTTTTTAATTGAAATGTGCATTACTAACAGTGGAGCTATCTCAGCCGAAAGGCTGCTTGTTGTCATATCTCATTATCAGGTCGCATCTATTCATTTGTGAACTCTTCTAATGTACTGTATTTGTTCTATTAGTAGCATATGCATAAATATGAATAAAAGCTGTAAATCATATTGAGTATAGGTAATGTTTGGATTAATGTACATGTATTAGAGCAACTACAATACAGCTTATTCAATACAGAACCAAATTAGGCAGAATATTTAAATATTGCCTGAATGAGATGTTTAGTTGTTTTATACGGTTGAAGAAAGACACCTTCTTAGCTAGCATGTAATATTAACTAATCTACAATGAGATGGGAGGATTTTTTTAGCTGAATTAGGATTCTCTGAATTTAGTCATTGAATCCAAATGGCTGAACTGGCATTCACAGTTGGTGATTTCACACAATGATGGCTTTTACAGTATTGAATGTGTGGTCAGCATTATAAGTGGCTTGACATAGAGAATAACTTTATCTCTTGTGAGTGTTTATACATAGAAGAAATGACTCGATCAACACAGTAGCTGAGAAGTCCTTCACACACGCCACGACTGTTAATTTAAATCATCCACTTGTTACTGCTGCTAATTGATGCTTTGATGTGTTCCCATAGATACCCTGTAATCTCAACCCCTACTCATAAAAGCTTAGATAAATGGACTGATAGGGCATCCCATGTGTAAAAAACTGGAATGTATAGCACTACTTAACAGATATTATTACTATATAGCCCAGACTTTAGCTATTTCTCCTGATATATGTATATACCGGGTATAAGCTATACTAAATAAGTTGTAATTCTTTTCAGAATTTTGTTGGTCTGGCTTTTGTTAATGAACTATTACATGTGTCCTATTTAGTAACTGTACAAGGGTAGCCTGCCCTACCACCATAAGTAGGTGAAGGTTTCAGATACTTAATAAGATGTGCATAATATAGTTTTATTGTGTCACTTTTTTTTAGTACCGGGTAGTAGGTGTAATCCACACTGTGCTGCTGAGCTGAGATTTCAGCTGTCTAGTCAAATTATAGAGAGTGCTTTTTAATTGTCTTTGACACTATTTTATCTTCTTCATCTTCAAGCCTTATTGACTTTAAATCATCCTGATGAAAATTACATTTTGTTTTGCTGCTAATGCAGAAGACTCAAGGTCTTTTTCATCATGATATATTCTGCCTTTCTATTTCAGGTGACCCATTGTTCTGGTGTAGGTTTTTTCCTGTAAATTCACACTTTGTTCTTATGCAAATTGTAAACTGCT